CCTCCCAGGTGCCCATGGACAGAGCTTCCTGTCCCTCCATCCTCAGCTTCGTGCAGTCGCTGTTCATGCTGGGGACCGTGGTGCTGTACTTCTGCCACCGCAAGGAGTACGTGGCCTCCATGGTGTTCTCTCTGGCCATGGGCTGGACCAACATGCTCTACTACACCCGCGGCTTCCAGCAGATGGGCATCTATGCCGTCATGATCGAGAAGGTGGGTGCCAGCGCCCGAGGGGTTCTCCATGGAGCCTGTTTACCTCCTGGATATGTGGGACCTGGTCCCACACACTCCATGTGACTCTTTGTGTTGTCTGGGGAGGTGCTGTTTCAAGACCCACCTTCCCAGAGAATCCCCCAGCAATCAGGCAATCTGGCTTTGACCCAGGTTTGGGGGCTTCCCTGAAATTGACCTCCCCTACATACCAGGCCCCCTTCTCCCGCCAGAACAAAGGCCGTGGTTGGGGCGAGCTGTAGTGACTCTCTCATGACCCCTGAGTTGAAAGCCACCAAACCTAACTCTCCTGTATGTCCTCCGATGCCCTCGGGTGCACAATTAACCCCCAGGTCGATGCAGCCCCGTCCCTTCCCTTGGTCCCACCTGGGCCTGGACTTGGCTCTGACAAACCCTCTCTCTCCTGCAGATGATCCTGAGAGACCTGTGTCGCTTCATGTTTGTCTACCTGGTTTTCTTGTTTGGGTTTTCCACAGGTAACGGGCTTGGTCAGGGCCGGTGCGGGGCAGGGCTTCCTGGGAATTCTGCAAGGCTGCGTGGGGAGGGGCCCAATGGGGTGTGTGTCTGCAGGTGACAGAGTGGATGGACAAAGAGCACACTGAGATAGCTGGAGAACCTGGAAAGGTGATTCATAAAGCGTTCAAAGTAGTTTTATTTTATTTTCTAATAGATTTATTATTTATTTTTAATTTTTGGGGGGGGGTAATTAGGTTTATTTATTTATTTAATGGAGGTACTGGGGATTGAACCCAGGACCTCATGCATGCTAACCACACACTCTACCACTGAGCTGTACCCTCTGCCCCCAAAGTAATTTTAGAAGGAAAAGTGCTGCTTGCTTGTAGTATAGCTGCATTTTGGCTCCATAAAAAAAAAATTTATTTTGACGTTATTTCAGATTTTCAGAAAGATCACAAGTATAGTATAAATAACTTCTCTGTGCTCTTAACTGAGATTCCCCAAATTTTACCACACTTAGAAAAAAATCACTTTCTCTTCCCGCTTCACAAACATACACACGCACACTCACACACCCCACTTCACACTTAAAAAAACAGTAAGTTACAGACACGATCAGTCCTTTGCCACTAAATACTTCAGAGTGTGTTTCCTAAAAACGAGGACAGTCTCTTATGTAAACAGCATAATGAGCAAAATCAGGAAATTGACATCAATACAGTACTATTAGCCAGTCTTTCAGCCTTGTTCAGATTTCACCAATTGTCCTAATAATATCTTTTACAGAAATGAAAATCCCAGATCATGCATTTACATTAAATTTTCACGCCTCTTTAGTCTCCTTCAATCTGGAGCCATTCCTCAATCTTTCCTTCCCTTTTGTGATCTTAGCATTTTTATTGAGTAAAGGCCAGTTTTTACAACGTCTCTCAATTTGAGTCTGTCTGACATTTCCTCACAATTAGATTCATGTAACAATGTTTGGTCAGAATATCAAGGAAATAATGTGTGTCTTCCTCGGCATATGATATCAGGAGTCCCACAGTGTCTGTTTGTCCCATTTCTGGGGATGTTGACTTCGATCACTTGGTAGGTTTGGTTACTTTTGGTGAATCTGCCCGATTTTTTCTGCTGTCAGGTTATTACCTTTCCTTTTGTAATTGATAAACCATTTGTGAGGAGATGCTTCGAGACTACGTAAGTATCCTGTTTCTCATCGAACTTCACCCAGTGGTTTTAGCTTCCACTGTGCTTCACCTGAATCACCCGACCCTGTGATGGTTGCCAGATGATGCTTTTCTAACTTATCATTCCTTCCACATGTGTTAGCTGGGGTTCTATTGTACGGAAGAACTTTCTTTACAGTCATATGATGGAAAGGATTTCCATTCTCCCACATTGATTTATTTATTATCAGTAGGGCCTCATAGATTCATTTTTGTTTTTATTTTTTTGTGTATGTGTGGATTTTCACTTTGTTAAATGGGTTATAACTCCTTGCTATCGTCATTTGTTTTGATGCTCATATTATCTGAGAAATGGTCACTAGGAGCCCCTTCAAGCTGGCTCTCGTGCCCTTTTGACACATCACATCATTTTTTGAGCAACTGAGTTTTGCTTTGACCCTTACCTGAGCGCTACAGTGAGATGGTTCACATGGTATCCTGTCTGGAGTGATGGGAAGCTTTGACTAGAAGGAATCTGATCAGGATTGGTGTGGGCTCTGACACTTGGTCTGAAGGCCCTGCCTATCAGTAGCCACAGGAAAGGATTAGGTCAAGGGGGTTAGCAGATCCTATGGTTACAACTGCTACAGAAGTGTTCAGCCTTAGGACTAAATTTCCCAAGAAGAAGAATGCAGAATGCAGCAAGAAGCCCTTCTGCTCTGAGCTGCTCAGCCCCTATGGTTCTGAAGTCAGCTGGCTCTGGGCTACCCTCTAAGGGGCACAGGCAGATAGTGTGTGACTGAGAGTAGATGTGGACTTAGGGCTGACATGTAAGGTGAGGCAGGTTGTGCACTGCACAAATGTGGCTGTATTCATTTTGTGCATATAGATTTGTATATTTATCTTAGCATTTTCCCCAGTAGATGATGATAAAGTTTTCTTTTAATAAAACATCATATTATGACAAATTTCTGAGCTTTGAAGAAGAGAGTGGTTTTTAAAAAAGAAAATTCACACAAAGGCACCACATAGCCAAGCCAGACCCATCCTGGGGTAGTAGGGGATCTGGGGTCTTGACTTCCATCCAGCTCTTTGTTCCCCATGCCCTATAGCGGTGGTGACTCTGATCGAGGATGGAAAGAACGACTCTGTGACTGATTCCACGTCGCACAGGTGGCGAGGGGTTTCCTGCAGGCCTCCTGACAGCTCCTACAATAGCCTGTACTCCACATGCCTGGAGCTGTTCAAGTTCACCATCGGCATGGGCGACCTGGAATTCACCGAGAACTACGACTTCAAGGCTGTCTTCATCATCCTGTTACTGGCCTATGTGATTCTCACTTACATCCTCCTGCTGAACATGCTTATCGCCCTCATGGGCGAGACCGTCAACAAGATCGCCCAGGAGAGCAAGAATATCTGGAAGCTGCAGGTGGGTCACTTGGCAGGTTGTGTGCAGCACCAAGGGGTTGGCTGTTCCAAATGTGAAGGTCCAGGGCTCAAGCAGCAACCTTTCCCTCGGTTGGCTCCCTCTAGCTCCTCCCGCAGGGGTCTCTGTCCAGCATCACCAGCGGGTGTTCAGAGACGCTGTGTCTGCTGTAGGCTGGGCGGTCCCTGGGGGAGGAGGCGCGGAGGAGATGGAGGGCTGAGCCCTGTGGGGTGCCCATCGCAGAAGAACTAGGGTGGGCACCAGAGACCAGACTTGGACGAGCAGCTAATGTGGGATTGTTACAGTTCAGTGTTGCAGCTCAGTGTTACAGCTTAGCTTCGACAGCAACCTGAATCTGGGCAAGAGACCAAGCAGCACTCGGAGAGTTGGAGAACTCAGGCTTATTACACCAGCAGGCCCAGAGGAGTTAACGCTGGACCCTGTCTGTAGGTTTACACAGGCTTTTATAGGGTGCCAGTTTACACTTTGCAACATCATATGCAAATAAGGTATAACAAAAGTTGACTAATTAGGAACAAGCTTTGTAGAAATGGACCAATCAGGAGGGAGAGAAATAACTAATCAGGAGTGAGGGAAATGGACCAATCAGGAGTGAGAGAAATAACCAATTAGGAGTGAGCCCCATGCAAATGAAGTACTACAAATGGGCCAATCAGAAGTTAGGGAAATGGACCAATCAGGAGTGAAGGAAATAACCAATCAGAAGTGAACTCAGAGAACCAATAGAATTTTAGGGCTAAGTAAGGGGTTCCAGAAGCAAAAAGTGAAACAGAGCCTATGGGCCAGGGAACTGGATGGTGCTGGCAGGAGATAGTGGCCCTACCTGAGGGTCCTGCAGATCTTTTTATGGGGCTTCCCGCCTCAGGATGGGCCCTGACAGCTGCATTTTTGAGCCACCTGGTCCACATCTGCTGCCCCAGGTAATAATAAAAACACCAGTCTTATCAAGCAGCACTTTCTCTATGCTAGGTACTATTCTAAGTGTCTTGCTTCCATGCTCTCTTTTAATCCTACAACAGTGCTACCAAGAGGGTTCTCTCACTATCCCCAGTTTTGGATGAAGGCGCTGAAGTATAGAGAAGTTAGGTATCTGGGTCCAAGGCAACCAGTAAGTAGCCCAGCCAGGACTCGGCCCAGGCAGTCTCTCTCCCGAGGCCCTGCTCTTAATCACGACACTATGTTGTCCCTTCTTGAGCTGCTCAGGGAAGGATCTGGGGCTGGCACAGCCCACCTCACTCACACCTGCCCTGCCCAGACTCAGCAGCACCAGCAGTGCCTGGACAGGTCTGGGCTGGATGGCTAAGCTCTGTCCGTGGCGTGTGCACCCGCCAGGCTGTGGGAACCAGCCTGGTGTAGCGGGTATGGAGGTTCAGCTCAGAGGCGCAGGGACGAGGAGAGACCTTGGAGAAGCTGGATGCGCCCTCTGCCCCTCTGCCTTTTGCGTCTTCCCGCAGAGAGCCATCACCATCCTGGACACGGAGAAGAGCTTCCTTAAGTGTATAAGGAAGGCTTTCCGCTCAGGCAAGCTGCTGCAGGTGGGGTACACACCTGATGGCAAGGACGACTACAGGTGGTGCTTCAGGTAATGCCCAGGCAGGAATCAGAACTTGGGGAGCTTGGGGGCTTGGCGGCTTAGCTGTGGATATCAGGACCCACCCAGAGCCAGCTGTGGGTACAGAAGCCTGACTTAGGGTCTCTTGGAGCCAGTCATGAGCACAGGGGACTCTCCCAAAGATGGCAGTCCGCACAGGGGGCTGCCGGCACTGGAGACCCACCACAGATCCCAGATGGTGGAACCCAGACATTAGATACTGGAACATGAGGTGTCCAGAAGGGGTCACCTAGTGGTCAGGGTCAGAAGCAGGAATCCAGTATTTAAAGCCCCTGGGTCCCACGGTGTGGTCAGGGAACACATCTTCGTGGGTGGGGTCCAAAAGACAGGCCCCTCGGGTCCTCTTTCTACCAGCTTTGTCTCCCCAACCTGGTCTCTAGGCTTGGCCTGTGGGGCCAAGCTCACAACCTGGGAAGCTGGCCATGGCTCTTGGGCCCTCAGCTCCCTCCTCCCCCATCTCCTCCCCCTGCAGGGTGGATGAGGTTAACTGGACCACCTGGAACACCAACGTGGGCATCATCAATGAAGACCCCGGCTACTGTGAGGGGATCAAGCGCACCCTGAGCTTCTCCCTGCGGTCAGGCAGAGGTGAGGTGTAAGGGGAGGGTGGCCAGGTGAAGCCTTGGGGGTCCCCTACTCCTTTCAGGCCTTCCTCTTCCCACCGCCTGGGCACTGACATAGCCCCACATCTCAGCCACCCACACAATCCCGGCGCGTGGTCTCACGCGCATGCGCAGCCCACTGCTCCACTTGCCCACGTGTGCCCACGCGTGCCCACGCCCGCCCGCTCC